AACTATCAGGAAACACAGCCGAGCTCCAGGAGTGTCAGGCTTTACCATCAGTAGGACACATAATTTCTTTGTCTGATATGCAGCCTATTTATGTTTTCATCATGAAAGTTGTGATTATTATAAGATAATAAGTCACAATAAGAAATTATCTGCTACTGTATAAAAGTCTTAACTTTTTTTTAATGAAACTGGCATTTCTTTGTTCCTCTAATCACAATAACTTTGTCATAGAAATAATTAAATTTTATCTTTCAGAACCTAGAATGACTTTCATATACAGATTGTGAACTAAAGTGAATTTTCATATTTCATAGCTTTCTTTACATCATTTATATTGAAAATAGAATTTGGTGCATAGTAACATAAGCCTGAGCCCTCTTTGGTACATATTAAACTATACACATCATTTAGCTAAATGTAAATGATATGGTGGATGCTTTCTGAGTAAATAGGTTCCATTATTTAGCAGATGCAGCCTCAAATGATTCTAAAAATACTCATCATGGTCTCAATGGCATTTTTCCTGGATTGGCTGTTTGGGTGCCAAGTTACAATCAAGAATGAAGTTCTCAGGGTTTAATAGTACATTTTATCAAAGATTATCAAGTGGCTTTGAACATCGTTAATAATTCTTCCTAAACCATGCCTGAAACTAGGCTAAAAGGAAAGTAAAACTTTAGTCATTTCTAATGACTAATTAAGACAGTCTTGAAAAGTTTTTCTGTTTGATGTTTCTTGCTACTAATTTATTGTTTGAAAGTCAGATATCTTATATTTAACTTCCTATTTTATCTTTCAGCGTTATGCTGCCTAATTGATAAGTCAGTTATATTGGGTAAAATTATAAATGCAAAGCCCTTGAAAATATGCCCTGTCTTGGCTAGGTTTAAGGCAAAAATAACATTCAAGTTTAGTCCTAGGCAGCCACCAAGCGTGTCCACAATTTCAGGGTTGCAGCACCCTTCGCCTGGTTTAGGTGAAGTCCCCCTATACATTGTTTCTCTGTACTTGAAATAGTCCCAACTCTTTTAGCCTTTACAGGTCAATTTTTCTGGCTTTGACTATTTTATTTTTTTGGGTAATTTTTTTGAACTCTTCTAATGTGTTCTACTTTCATTGATCCTTAAATACAAAGTACCTTGGAAAGGGCCTGACTATTTTATTTTTTGGGGTAATTTTTTTGTACTTGAAATAGTCCCAACTCTTTTAGCCTTTACAGGTCAATTTTTCTGGCTTTGACTATTTTATTTTTTTGGGTAATTTTTTTGAACTCCTAATGTGTTATACTTTCATTGATCCTTAAATACAAAGTACCTTGGAAAGGGCCTGACTATTTTATTTTTTTGGGTAATTTTTTTGAACTCTTCTAATGTGTTATACTTTCATTGATCCTTAAATACAAAGTACCTTGGAAAGGGCCTATGAAGAAGGGAAGCAGAGAATAATTTGGGGGGTCCTAAAACATGAAAATCGTGCTAACCCAGTCTTTTTAGCTTTAAACTGGAGGGCACTGTCTCTGGGACTGTTTTGGAGGCGCAGTGGATGCATTCAGAAAATAGGAGGAGCCTTGGAGTGCCTGCGTGGCTCAGGCCATGATCTCAGGGCTGTGAGATCGAGCCCTGCGTCAGCTCCATGCCCAGAAAGTCTGCTAGAGAGTCTCTCTCCTTCTGCCCCTCCTGCTTGGGCTCTTTCTCAAATAAATAATTAAAAAAAAAAAAAAAAAGAAAATAGGAGCCTTCTTAGCTTTACCCTGAATGATATCCAATTTTGATATGCTCATCTATTTTCTCAGAACGATAGTTCTTTCTCTTCTTATGAAAGAAGAACACGACCTGCTGCAGCTGGGTGGCGACACCGATTCAGATACATTTTATTAGAACCGATGCCTATTGCTATGGGAAAAAGAGCCTGGGGAAAAAAAAGAAGAAGAAATATATTGCCGAACAGAAAATTCCCTAGAGAACAAAGATCATGTTAATATTATATATCAGACCAAGCAGATTCTTATCTATTTCTAGGCTCTTTATCACTGAAGGTGTTTTCTGTTCATGACGTATAATTTCAGTGCCTCCTAAGCCAGGCCTTTTGAACCACAGTTCTCTCTATAAATTATGACTTAAAGAATGAATTCCATTCCACCCTCTAATAAAAATTCGCTCCTTAAAGACTCAAAAGTCATCTGTGAAGAACTCTTGCAAAAATAGTTGGCCCTTACTTTTTTTGCCAAAATTAAGCCTCTCGAATGGTCACTGTTCACATTTCCCTTATTTCTTACTTTAAAGAAATCATGACATCTTACAAAGCCACACCGGAGGTGCCGGCAGCTGGCCAGCGCTGGTATCTTGAAAACTGAAGTTCCTCTTTTCCCTGCAGGGTCATGACGGGTCTCCCGCTGCTGGCCCCGGGGTGACACCGGCCCGCTGCCTCCCCAGCCAGCGGCCAGCACACGCTGGTGTTTCAGACCCATCAGAATGGCCAGTTTCCGTTTACTCAGAACCTTTATAAAGTTTCTGAAACCGTATCTCTCCTGCAGTTCCTTAAAATTCACTAACAATACATATGTTATCATATTTATCATATCACATAAATATGTAGCCTTTACTCTGTTTCACTGCTTTGAACGCTTTTATAAGTTCACTTATTTAGTCCATCTACCACTTGAAGTAGGTTCCACTGTTAACCTCATTTTACAGACGAGGAAACTGAAGCAAAACCACGTCCTGAGAAGCAGCAGAGCTCGTTGAGCTCACACATTTCCACTGCCCCCAGCAGATGCTCTGAGGCCCTGCTGCCCGCCTCCCCAAGGGAAGGACCTGGAGGTGCGCCTTCAAGGGAGTGGCCAGGCAAAGTTCTCCTCAGAGTGAGGTTGGAGCAAGGGCTGCGGGGAGGCAGGAGACGGGCCACGAGGGGGTCTGGGAAGACCACTTCCAGTACACAGGTCCCAGGGGATGGCACTGGTGTGACCAAGGAGGCTGGGGAGGAGGCCGAGGAGTCTGGGGTGGAGGCCGGGGAGGAGGCCAGGGAGAGGTCAGGCTGAGGGGAGGCTGAGGAAGGAGCAGGAGCCGAGGTCCAGGGAGCACTGAGCGGGCGGGGCAGGACCTGGTGGGCTCTCCTGGGGCAGTTGACTCTTCCTTTGAGGGCAGTAGAACCGTTTGGGGAATTTTGAGCAGAAGAGTGACCTGATGTGATGCGTGTTTTTATAGGATAATTCTGCCTGTAGAGGAGGCGAGGGCGGGAAAACAGGGGCTGTTAGGACGATACAGGTGAAAGATCGGGGAAGCTCAAACAAGGGTAGCAAGGGAGTGGTGGCCATGAGTCACCGGTCGCGGGGAGAGCCAACGCTGTTGGATCGGAGGGGACAGCGAGAGAAAGAGGGGACTCGGGGACACCCCAGGGCTTTTCGCCTGATTAGCTGGACTAGAGTTGCTGTTGAGTGACCTGGGGGGTCTGTGAGTGGAGCCAGTAGGAAAGGCCAGCAGCTCAGCTTGGATACAGAACAAGAACATACATCCACAAAAACATGTTGATTACGGTGTTAAAAATTAAGGGCAACCTAAATGCCCTCTAACAATAAATAATTTGAATGAATAGATCAATGATACCCCCATACAGTGAAGTACTATGGAAATTAAAATATTAAAAATAGGGTGCACATCTGTATATTATTTATTGACGTACTAACTGCAAAAATAGCTGATTGCTAAATCATGGCTCAACCATATTTCTATAAAAAAGAAAAAATGTACTTTGTTTCACATAGGAAAAATAAAATACATAATAAAATTTTAGTAGTTGCAGTGTGGGGTGATTTTATTTTATTTTTTTTGTTTTTACATCTTTTTAAAACTTTTGTCAAAGTTTTTTGTGAATAAAAAGGGAAAATATATATTCTAACTACATTATAATATTATTTATTTAAGTATGATCTAAATACAGTATATGTATGCATAGAAAAAGACCTGAGGGGTGGAGGGATGTGCCCGTAGTGTTCATATATTTTCTGTAAATGGCAAGGACATGAATGATTTTTCTTTTTCTTTAGATTCTTCATATTTTCTTTTTCTTTCCTTTTAATAGATTTTATATTTTAACTAATCTCTACACCCAGTGTGGGGCTTGAACTCACAATCCCTAGACCAAGAGTTGCACACCTCACTGACTGAGCCAGCCAGCTGCCCCTAGATTCCTTATATTTTCTGATTTTTAACAAATAGCAGGTATTGCCAGGGTAAAATTTTTACCAATTATAAATTGAACGGAAAAGTGCACACATGGTCAGTCAGTGAACTTGCCTTGTAAAGTACTGTACCTTCACATTACGAACTGTGTTTGGGTCTGTGAGGCTGCGGGGGGGACCATTACGTAGGCAGGGGCGGGGGAGACGTTCATTCCCACGTTTTGGGAAACCACAGAGACAGCAAGGTTTCCCACTGTCAGTTTTCACCAATCACCCCCTTCCTGCTATGGAAGGTACTGAGAATAAGGAGGGGCAGATAGAGAAGGACTTGGGAGATGCACTGTCCCCTCCTCCAATTCAAATAATCATTAACCGTCTTCAAATGACTCTTATGTCAGGAGTTTCAAAATTGCATACATCTTATTAAAACATTTTATACATTATAAAATATTAAGATCTATATCACTTTTAAAAAATTCATCCATTTCTCCATTGTTGATGATTACTCTTTTTTTTTTGATACCTCAAATTTCAACTTGATATACCTCATTATTTCAGAAGCTTAAAGCATATGAGGTTCTGAATGCCACCAAATTTAAACCCAATACTCTTTGATGATTTTTTTTTTTTTAATAATACAACTCATCCTAGAGAGGGAGACTTTAAAGACAGATTCAACCATTTTGGGGTATCCATTTTCAGATGCCTCTAGGCAGAACTAGATACCAAAGTATAATGTCACATTCTAAGACAGTGATACAAATATGAACTAGCTGCCTCGGTGGAATGATTGAGTGATGTGATTTTGTTTTATCATTTCAAGGGAGTGAAAAAAATCGACCCCAAATTCTATGAAAAATTTATCAGTCACAGATTTGGAGAAGAAATGGTACATCGCATAGATCTTTGCTCCATGCTAAAGAAAAAACAAAGTAATGGTTATTATCACTGTGAGTCTTCAATTGTGATTGGTGAGTACCATTTAAAAATTACTTATTATCTTAGTTTTTATTTCTTTAGCATCATTTCTTTTGGCAGATATTTAGGGCTAGTATGTATTTTTCTCTGACATATTTTTAGAAATATTATATTTTGGCATTAGTACATTGGAAATTTTATAGAACGCATTTATTATTCACTGTGGTCAAGATTTTAATACCTATGGTTTTTATGTTTTTGTGCTTTATATATAATGAAGTCTTGAAATGTTAATTCAAAATTCATTCCAGTTTAATTTTATTTCATGAATATGAAGAAAGCATTGTCTTCAGTGAAGGCCTATGTGAACACACATCCCACACCAGGCATTTTCATGTTTGCTGCTTTTAATTAGGATAGAATATTCCAGGCCAAGAAGTTTCACTGTGAGAAGATAAAGTCTAGGTGGCCTGCAAAGGTTGAAAACTTGTCCTTCAATTTCCTCCCCAAAGGAAACATGTTTTGTGGGGAAACAAAGATTCATACGTGAATGCTTCTATCATCTTATCAGGGAGTTGGCTTGTGACGGAGACAGAGTCATACACAATCATGTTTCCAAGTGGAAAGTTTACATCAAACGGAGATTTTTTTTAACCAGAACAGGGCTATTCTGCAGTGTTGAATGTATTCAAAGGAACCTGATCTGTTGTGATGCAAATGTGCGATTTCAAACCCAGGCAGCATTCTTCTAAGATGGTGAACTTCAAAAAAAAAGTAAAAAAATAAAATAAAATTGTGAACATCAAGATAATCTGATTGTATGGTTTTGAAGTAACTTGACAATACTCAAAGAAGACAAATACCTGTATCTAAACATTTCATGGTCTTCATCAAGATAATGTCTCTCCACATCAGCTTCAAGAAAACCTGTGGAAATACACATCCTGAATTTTAATATACATTCTCAGTAGAGCTCTCTTCAGAGAAGTCATCACTTTACCTTCCAAAGATCTTAGCTGTCTTAAACGGAAGATATTCAGTATGTCATTTGAGTTTATATTCTGAAACATTTCACATCTCTTTTAAGGAAGATTTTTGTGTTTTCAGAATCTTGGTTGGAGAGCTGTCTTCCATCGAAGTTTTGTTGAGCACCAGACATTTCTGTTTAGGTTCATTGCAAAGGGCAAATTTAAGACTTTCTTGTGTAACACAGATGTTGGGTAACTGTCCATGTGTACACAGGTTAGGCCAATGTTGAAGGAGAACTCATTGTTCTTCCTTGACTCTCCTACTCTTGGATAAAGAACAAACAAAAAACCCCCAAGCAGTATGTATATTTTCCTGAACGTATCCTGGGATTGGTATCATAGCATGTATCCCCTACATTGCCTTAGGACAGCTCTGTTCAGCTCATTCCCGAATCACAATGTATCAAACAGTGATTTTTTATGTTATTGCTCTTTTCAGCCTACTCTTAAAAATTCCCCTTATTCTAGGCAATATCTCCAGATTTTCCCCTCAGGCTCCTTTATCTCCCATGTTTTCTAATGCAGAGCAATTTAGCTTCTTTTAAACTCCACCAATCTTGTATCCCCATACTGATAATTTAATATTATTTGAAAAAATGGTTTTTGCCTATTATAAATGCTCTACTTTTTCAGTCGCATTTTGTGATGCCAAAATGAACTTGAAAATCATATTTGCATCTGAAATGATAATTATTATGTTATAATTAACCAACTTTAATACACACTAGAAGTCCTTTATTTGCTGTGGATAGTTATTGATTTTCTCTATCTTAATCTTACCTGAGTTTTGTAACAATATTTAGGAAGATTCAGGACACTTTCTTTGTGAGTTTCATTTCTTGATCAGATTTAATTGTTTTTTTTTAATTTGATCCTAACTTAAATTTAAAGTCTGTTTTCTATACCTTGAACCAGTATTTCCTTGTATTAATATCGTATTATATTAATAGAGTGGGGCAGATTTCCATTTTTAAGATATTTTGCATTCAGAATTCTAGGGTAGAAATTGGGTTCAAAGACTCTAAGAACTGTCTATAAAACTTTGTTTATAAAACTTTCTATGTAGGTACATAAGTGGATTTTTCTGGGGAGAGAATTCATTAGATTTGCATCATTTCCTATGTCTTAATTTGTTAATAGTGCATTCTTGTAGAGAACTAGATTCCAAATCATGGATTTTCTTTTCAGCTGTCTCAATTATGCCATTTAGGACATCTTATTATTATTATTTTAAAAACATCAATGACTATATGCTTCATTTCCAAGATTTGTCATTGATTCTTTTTCATATTTTCCTTTTCTGTTCTTTGCTTCATGGATGCTATGCTTTCATTTATCTCTTTGAGGATTTTAATATAATTAATTGTTAATGTTCTTTTTGTGTATTTAAAAATATTTTATTTAATTTTTATTTTTAAAATAAATTAGGTATATAATATTGTATAAATTTAAGGAGTACAAGGTTTTACTTTGGCATTTTTATGTGTTGTAATATGATATTTATCACATTACATAATTACAGTATAATATTTTTATCTATATTCATTATACTGTAATTAGGTCTTTATTGCTTATTTACAAGTAGTAAATAAGGTATAAGTTTGTACACCTTAAAATACTATTAATCTTACTCTCCTACCCACCAATTTTCTGGGAACCACCATTTTATTGTTTTTTACAGCTTTATTAGATTCCATCTATAAGTGGCATCATACAGTACTTGTTTTTCTGTGAATTACCTTGCTTAGCAAATAATGTGCTTGGGGCCCATCCATGCTGTTGCAAGTGGAAGGATATCCTCCTTTTTGATGGCTGAATAATATTCCATTGTGTGTATGTAACACATCTTTCTTATCCATTCATCCATTGCTGGGCATTTGGGTTGTTTTCATATCTTGGCTATTGTGAATAATACTGTGATAAACATGGGAGTTCATATAGCTTGTCGAAATCCTATTCTCATTTCTCTGGGTTTATATCCAGTAGGGGAACTACTGAGTCATATGGTATTTCTATTTTTAATTTTTGGGTGAACCTCCATATTCTTTCTTATAGTCATTGGACTGATTTACAGTCCCACCAAAAGTGTATAAGGGCTCCATTTTCACCATAGCTTTGCTGGCACCTGTTGCCTCTTGTCTTTTGATGATAGCCATTCTTACAAGTGTGAGGTGATACGGCATTGTGGTTTTGATTTGCAATGTCCCTAATGGTGAGTGACATTGTCATGTGTCTGTTGGCCATTTTGAACAAAAATACAACTAATCTGATTTTTAAATGGATAGAAGAGCTAAATAAACATTTTTCCAAACAGGACTTTTCATATTTTTAAAATCTCTAGTTCCTCGGGTATGAATTCTTCTATTTCTTGGATCTTTTGTGGCACTCCCTTTCTTCTAGTACTTTTTAGGTTTTTGAGAGCTCATTGTATTATACTTGTGTGGTTTGGCAGATATCTCAGCCCTAGATGTCAAAGCCCTGCTTTGAACTGGATTAGAAGCTGGCAATAGCAAATCATCCTTGTTAATAAGGTGTTAGAATTTATTATTTTTGTGTCTTTTATCAGTTTCTGAAGGTTCTGTTTGTTTTGTTTTGTTGTTTACAGTAAAGACAATTCGCCCTTTGTCATATCAGCTCGAATATTCTCCAGATTTTATTTTACATTTAATTTTGGTCACAAGGCATTTTTCACAATAAATATTCTTAAGTTTTGTTAAACTATAGATTAAAAACTCTTCTGTGATTTCTTTAATTCTAAGAGTCATCTCCAAATCAGAGATTTGATACATTCTCATTTATATTTTTTTCCAGTGCTTTTGTTGTTGCTTTTGCATTTGAGCTTTTAACCTACCTGATATGATCATTAATATAAGTGCTCAACCCAGAAGATTAATACAGAAATCTAGTCACTAAAAGTGAGCATGAAGCAGATTTCATTTTAGCAATATATTTTAAAATATTTTCTAGACTCCAACTCTGTGTTCCAGAGATCATAAATTAGCAGCCTTTCATTTTTTATTTCATTGCACAGAGTTCTGCTTTATTTTTTCTAATTTTAATAACTTGCCAACATTGGGGTAATTTTATGTAAAAAAAATCTGGGTTCCCGCTGTCTTCTGAACAGTCAGAAGATGTGACACTAGTTGTACATTCTTGCATGGTAACAGTTTTCTGGATGGGGCCGTCGGCACACTGACCTTAGAGGTAGCTGCCTTTTATCACCCCCTCACTGTTGTTCTTACCATAAATTTGCTGAACACATTCACACTACATGCTTGGCTCCTAGAGGCATCTGCATTTGGATTTCCCCTGCCAGTTATCGCTTTTCTCTGTGCCTGCTTTATATTTCCAGGCCAAGCATTTTCCTCTCCATCTTCAACCATCATATACCTCTATGTGAGTGTTAGGGGAGTTTGATAGGATATGGAGGTGATGTTCATATTTTCAGATACCAGAAAAGGTTCTCCATTTAGTTCTCTCATAGTCCAAACTTTGGGTGAAATTATGCCTACGTAATATTGGGCTCCAACTCATTGTAAACCTAACTGCATTAATTGGCAAAAATTCAAACTTAGAAAGAAAAAAGTTTTTCTTGGTGAAACCAGGAATGAAACATGGCTCAGATACCCTAGAGTGGTAGAAGCTGCTCTCAGTGAGCTACTTACTAGAGTTGGGTGAATTAATCTTTCTCCGGCAGCTGTATTCCTTTTGTATTTCCTTAGGGAAGGGAATTGACTAAATGACACCCTTTGTAAGGTTGACGAGCAATTTAATGCTTGCAAAGACTAGTTTACTTTCAGCCATCAGACGTATCTTAGAGGAGGCAGTGGGGAATTTGGAAAGGTCTAGAGGTTTTTGTTTTTTGTTTTGCAGGCCAGCATATTTTGTTATTAGTTTCGTAAGTAGAGGTGGAAACCATTATTTTCTGGGAACCTCAACTATTTTTTGATTTAAATAATTATTCAACATTGATTTAATGAGTGTTATTAAGCACATACAATGGAGAGGAAGGAGGAATAGATCAA